GATCTAAACAACAAATGTATTTAAATTTTTATCTTATTTATTTCTTACTAACTTTTTAATAGGGCAATATTACAATACACAATATTATGTTTTTGTTAGTTTAGAGTCTATACAGAAGCCCAATCAACTACATGGCTTTTTTTTTTCTTTCCCAAAACTCAAACATTCACTGCAGAACACACAAATATACTTTTTTGACATTTTTATATTAAATTATTATTTTTTGGTTCTTAAAATCCTTTGTGAAACTGGCCCTTGAAGAGAAAACGGAAATGTTGGAGAAGAAATTGATTATATAAATAGTATTTTACCCTCCACATCCCATGTCCTTGTGGATGCCGATGTTTCCATGCATAACGTGAGCACCTGAAGGCATCACACTTGCAGTATTGTGTTTAAAAAAATAAAAAAAAAAGCTTAAGATAAAATGGAAAAGATGCATTTGTATTGTTTGAGCTATGACTCCGAGGCAGGACCTGTTTTATTCAGTATATAATGATGATGATGATGATAAAAGGCAGTGGTGACTTTTATTTCTTATGCAAAATGTGAATCCATTTTAATATATGTGGAAAAGCGAATGTTACGTTACTATGTGGTATTATCAGCACAAAAAGGCCATTTTGGATTGACATGAGTGAGGTAATTATAGCGTTGGGTGAAAATTAAAGAGCAGTGGTTCTCAAAAATTCAACGGATTTCAATTTCCACAACAAACATTGGGGAAAAAAGTAAAAATTCTAATCAGTATTAAACCAAAAATCCAAGATCTTATGGCTGGCTTAAATCAAAACACACAAAAAAAAGCAACAATGGGCTAAAACAGGCGTGAATCATCTCAAAATGATTAATAATAGTAATAATAATGATGCGTTTTATTTAAAGACATCGTGCAAAGAACAAAAGTCGAGACAAATCAGCAGTTTAATTAAACCAGTGACTCAACCAAGACTAAACCATATCCGAAAAACTAATAAAAGGTGAAATTGCACAAAAAAAACCAAACAGATCAAATAAATGCAAATAAAGACATTTTGAGATCCACTACTAGACAACTCGCCCTTTCCCCAGCCCGAGCCCACTCCTCCTGCTTTAAGAAGGCAGGACTGAACCACTGACCGGCGAACGGATGCCTGTGTAAATTAAGTCTGTTTTTATTGTTTTGTTTGTTTATAACTGGGTGAAAAAACAGGTGTTTCTCTGTAAACTGTATTACAATAAAAAGTTTGTTTAAAAGTAACATGGATGTGTGTGTTATTACTGAAACTAAAACGGTTAAAAAAATGTGTTCAGTCGCTTCTATTGAACAAAATTCGGTATAACTCACTACATTTGAAGCTTTATTAGATCTCAAAATCTGTCCGATATACTTATAATTTTTTTATAGGGGTGTAACGATATCCAAGTGTCACAACAGGATATCGTCACGGTATGAACCTCACGGTATGATATTTATTGCGATATCGTGGGAAATCTCATGATTGGGAATGTAACAGTTAGGGATGTCCCGATCCAATTACGTGATCAGAAATCGGCGCCGATCACGTGACTGCAGACTCGATCCGGACTCGGACATTATGGTTCGATCAGGTATTGGATAAATAATCTACGTGTATAACACACAGCACACAACAGGTGCACTCGCGCTGGGACTTTTGGGCCGTGCCGTGTTCAGACGCTGTTACCTGTGGTTCTGTGGCCCATGTTCCCACCTGCGCGGCCTATGGCGTCATCGCATGGCGCTGTGTGTTTGAATGTTGCACAGAGGAGTTGGTGCTTTTGGCAGGGAGGGTGGGAAAAGCGGCATGGAGTGTCTATTGAGCAGTAAGACCGATGTTGTGGTGCGTGCTCTGCTGTGGGTTTGTGGATGTGGTGGCGGCCGGGGAGAGAGGCTGTGGTACTTCTGTCATCTTGTTTTTATTTGTTAAGATTTTGTATTATTTGAATTTCAGAGACGAGCCTAAATGTTTCAAATATAATGCACAGGCTTCCATATAATATCAAATATACAAAGTGTAGATTGTGCAGAGTCGAGTCTCAGGTCTGATCTGATTCTGGTTCCTGATTTGTCCAGTTCATTAAGTTTACTAAGTTACACATTCCAAAACCAGACTGTGGTAAAAGTCAAGATTAGCAAAAAATGATGGTGGATGGTTAGAAAAGTTAATAAAATTTAAGTTTTGGACATTTGATTTTTCACAAGTTCAGCCCAAATACTACACATTGAAATCAACACAATCTGAACCCCTCACACATCCTGGATCTTATTCTTTGCTCTTAGTCCATTTCATAATGTTTTATAGAAGTATCGGATCGGGACTCGGTATCGGCAGATACTCAAAATCAAATGACTCAGACTCAGACTCGGGGGCAAAAAAATGTGATCGGGACATCCCTAGTAACAATATCCAAATCTCTCAGTACGATATTTATCACGATATACATCTCATGGTACCATATTTATCACGATATACATTTCATGGTACGATATTTATTGCGATATACATTTCATGGTACGATATTTATTGCGATATTTTGTGGAGGTTGACAAAACTGTTAATGTGCTATTTTTTCCCTCTTAAAATGCCTTGACAAGACTTAATCCAAAGAACTAAGACTTAAAAGTGTTAGAACTGTTATTTCTTCTTGTAGTCTGCACTGAAATGGAGCAAAGGATCATGGTCTATGTAGTTCCCTCTGTCTTTTTTAGCTATTTCTGCACCATAACTCTTTGTACCCTGGTTTTCTTCGCAAAAAAGGACTTCACACTCCGTACTGATGATCATGTGTGTCAATATTTATTCTTGTGAAACCTAAGATAAGGACAGACAGAGAAAATGTCTTCACTTTACATAAATACCTTTAAATAAATGCATTGAAATTGACAATATTTACCGTGTTCGCCTGTACATCACCAGTGGTAGTTAAGTAGCGTTTCTTTAATTTTGACGTCTTTTTCTTTACACCTTTTTCTGTGTTTCTCTCTATTGCAGCTACTATTTCTCTCACTCTGTTTACTTTCGGGCAAGGTAATGGTCACAGAACTCAAAGGTAAATATTTTCACAAATAAAATATAAAATGAATAACTGGTGTTCTGACACATCTCAAATACCTGAACAAATAAATGTATGTTTTTTGACAAATATACTGACATCATAGTTTTAAATTAAGCAGATAATGCAACATTAGTTTGGTTTATTAGAACATTAAAGTTTGAATCGAATATAAATAAAGTCGTATCATCAGTGTTGGGGAGTAACAGATTACTTGGACTGGAGTTACGTAATCAGAGTACAAATTATGAGGAACTGTATTCAGTTACAGTTACTGTTTCAGTGAGTGGTAATTGGATTACAGTTACTTTGTTAAAATAAATGGATTACATGGTGGTATTTTCCTGTTTTCACATTTGGGGCTATATCCCTTTTTTTTTTCTTGGTAAGTCCACTCATTGCCGGACACTAAACCAGGTCTAAACCAGGTCTAAACCAGGTCTAAAACCAGGTCTAAACCAGGTCTAAACCAGGTCTAAAACCAGGTCTAAAACCCAGGTCTAAACCAGGTCTAAAAACCAGGTCTAAACCAGGTCTAAACCAGGTCTAAACCAGGTCTAAACCAGGTCTAAACCAGGTCTAAAACCAGGTCTAAAACTAAAGGTCTAAACTAGGTCTAAAAACCAGGTCTAAAACTAGGTCTAAACCAGGTCTAAACCAGGTCTAAACCACTAGGTCTAAAACCAGGTCTAAACTAAAACCAGGTCTAAAACTAGGTCTATAAACCAGGTCTAAACCAGGTCTAAACCAGGTCTAAAACCAGGTCTAAAAGGTCTAAACCAGGTCTAAACCAGGTCTAAACCAGGTCTAAACCAGGTCTAAAAAAGGTCTAAACCAGGTCTAAAACCAGGTCTAAACTCTATAAAACCAGGTCTAAACCAGGTCTAAACCAGGTCTAAACCAGGTCTAAAACCAGGATTTAACAGAATTAAACTAAACCAAGGTCTAAAACCAGGTCTAAACCAGGTCTAAAACAGGATTTAACAGAACTAAACCAAGTCTAAAACTAGGTCTAAACCAGGTCTAAAACTAGGTCTAAACCAGGTCTAAAACCAGGTCTAAACCAGGTCTAAACCAGGTCTAAACCAGGTCTAAACCAGGTCTAAACCAGGTCTAAACCAGGTCTAAACCAGGTCTAAACCAGGTCTAAACCAGGTCTAAACCAGGTCTAAACCAGGTCTAAACGGTCTAAACCAGGTCTAAACCAGGTCTAAAACTAAACAGGTCTAAAAGGTCTAAACCAGGTCTAAAACCAGGTCTAAACCAGGTCTAAAACCAGGTCTAAAACTAAAAGGTCTAAACCAGGTCTAAAACCAGGTCTAAACCAGGTCTAAACCAGGTCTAAACCAGGTCTAAACCAGGTCTAAACCAGGTCTAAAACCAGGTCTAAACCAGGTCTAAACCAGGTCTAAACCAGGTCTAAACCAGGTCTAAACCAGGTCTAAATAAACCAGGTCTAAACCAGGTCTAAACCAGGTCTAAACCAGGTCTAAACAGGACCGTGTCTCCTCCTCTTCTATCAATAATATTTTTTATTTGGTTAAGTAAAGACTCGGCCTTTATATTTTCTTTTAGCAAACAAAACATCTTATTTGAAGGTTTTCTAGTCTTTGCTTCTCTACAGCAAATCAAGTAATCCAAAGTATTCAGATTACGTCACTCACTTTAAGTAACTTCACGGATTACGTTACAAACTACATTTTGGTGTATGTAATCTGTAATCTGTAGGGGAATCCATTTTAAAAGTCACCTTCCCAACACTGTCAGCAAACATGATTGGGGTTAAGATGTTGAGAAAGCAGCAATCCCCAACCAAACCAAACGATGGCAGCATTTCACTTGGCACCTGCTCTCTCGCTCTCATGGCCGTCAGAAGAAGCCCCGTCGAGCTCGGTTGGTTCAGTTCCTCCGGGAGGGGAGAGGGGAGAGGGGGAGAGGAGCGCTGTCTTAGCCGAGCAGCTTTCCACCGGAGTCCGTCACTGCTCGCTGCTGCGGGGTGGGGAATGCTTTCGTTTGCTTACTCATCCGGAAATAGCCTCAACCAAAGCTTTTATTTGTTTTTCAGCTCCAAAACGTGACAAAACATGCTTCCTGTCCACTTTCTGCAATGAAGGCAGGTTTCCTACGGAGATTGTTCAGAATAATCGTCGTTTTTGCCTTGATCATTTTATCTTTTTACGCTTTTAGAGAAAGTAAACAATCATCAGCGCGACCTGCCTTGCTGTCAGATAAGGACTACCGAGTCATATCGCCTCAAACGTACAAATACATCCACAACCAGCCTCAAGTTTGCTCAAACCGAAGTGATATTTTGTTAGTTTTTGTCGTTCCCGTCGCCCCTGACCATTACGCGCAGCGAGAGGCCGTGCGTAAAACATGGGGTGCTCCCGGAGTGGATACTTTGACTCTGTTCTTCCTGGGGTTACCTGAGGACAATTCCAAACGGGAAGAAATCCGAGATAAAGTTGAAGAAGAGAGTAAAAAACACGGAGATATCATTCAAATGAACTTTATTGACAACTACCAGAATCTGACCATCAAAACGCTGATGATGATGCGGTGGCTCGACGTGCACTGCCCGCAGACGCGCTACGGCATGAAAGTGGACTCGGATATTTTTGTGAACGTTTTCTACCTCAAGGACTACCTCAAGAAATGTCCACGGAGGAGTTTTATCACGGGATCGGTCATCAGCGACGGCACGCCGAGACGTAACAGCGACAGCAAGTGGCGTCTGTCCGAACGCGATTACCCCGAGGACGCGTTGCCCCCCTACGTCTCCGGGGCAGGGTACGTCTTCTCGTGGGACCTGGCGGGCCGGATATCGCTGGCGTCCCGGTTCTTTCGCGTGATCCCGCTGGAGGACGTGTACGTGGGGCTTTGTCTGCGCTTGTTGGAGGTGCGGCCGGAGTACGCGTACAGCCTGGTGCCGTTCGTCAAGAATCTCTTCGAAGTCAGGAATCTGAAGTACGATCGGTGTAGGTTTGCAAAGCTGATCCTAGTGAACGGGTTTAGTCCGTCTCAGCTCGTGGAAGCGTGGAGGGATTTTACGCAGGGCTACGGAAACTGCTAGAGCCAAAATACCAAAGTAAGCAGAGGTGAAATTGTACTTAAGTAAGAGTAAAGTAACAAAATATCTCATGTAACTTAAGTACAATGTCCAAGGTCCAAGAAATAACTCTGTAGGTGTTTTTATTCCCTTGGAGAAACATAAATCTTACCTCTTTCCACAGATCTGACCTGTAACTTGGTCACTCTCAAATCTATGCAGACACAAGTAGAAAATGCAAACTCTCTGACCTTCTTGCTGTGAGTTGTGCACCTTTATTCGACACAGACACCTCCAAACTTCCAACACTGATGGAAAAGCAGAAAGTAAAGTAGTAAAGTACTCTAAATGCAGTATAATTTGAGGTACTTTTTACTTTAACTTCACTACATTTGAGAGCAGGTGTGTGTACTTTCTACTTCACTACATTTTTAAAGTGTTTTATTGAGTGGGGCCTGCTGAAAAGCCCGAGCTGTTTCTTTTGAACTCATTTGTAGTCTGAGTAAACGGTTTGGTCCTTCAGCTTAGGGGCCAGTCTCAAAAACAAAGCTGAAAAAAGCCGAGGGACTCAAAACAAAATACAAAATAACGAAAAGCCTTTAAAGCCACATGGTAGATAAAGTTCAAATCACACCTTTTGCCTTCATCAGGGCAAACTCCAGATGACGAGATCACATTGCAGGTTTAAAGTCCACGGTGTAGGTCACATGTTCACACTGGGCCGGTCCACAGTCCTCTGGTGTTACACCCTATTTAAGATAAGATATAATACAAGATATAAGACAAAAGCGCGCGTTGCATGCTGGGAATTATTTTGGTCGGCGGCAAGAAACACTAATTCAACATGACGGATGGAGCGAGAAAGCACGTAAAGGATATTGATCCCGGTTATTTATCCACTCTAACAGCAGAGGACCCAAGACCATTTGACCAGAAATTGGACATAAGCATCGACGGACGACAAATCACCCTTTTCAACCCCGACAAAAGGTGGACCAAACCAAATTTCTGGTCAGAATCACCAACTACCTGGACAAATATTCACTTCGGTGACATCCACAGTTACTTGGTGGAAACTCCTGGGTCATTCACAGAAGAAAAGATGAAAACCTCCAAGAGTCTGGATGTGTTGTTGAACTTGTTGGAGTCCACGGTTTGCTCGGATCTTCTACGTTTGCTGTGCGGATGATTGAAAGGCGTTAGTGGTTCTTTTCACTCGGAATATGAAAAAGACATTTTCCTTCTTCTGTGCTTCTATTTGTGCATCCGATAATGCAGCAGGAATTTACCATTATCGGGGATAAATATGCAAGGTTACACACTGTGTTTGACGCTATCGTGTTTCTTGCCTCCGACCAAAATATTTCCCAGCATGCAACGCGGGCTTTTAATAACAATGACGTCAGCTGAAACTCGCCTATAAATAGTACAATTCCCAAAAACCAATACATAGAAAGATACATAGTTTAAAAATATACATATAGTGCAAAAATGTGATAGTGCTACAGATACAACTTGTCTAATTTGTATAATATATTAGAGGACTGGTCAGTTTCATGGAGACGTACTTTTACTTTTTTACTCTTGAAATACATTTTTAAACAAGTGCTTTGAGAACTTTTGCTTAAGTGCAGTTTTTCATGTGATACTTTTACTTTTACTTGAGGATTTCTGTGCTCTGGTATGTGTACTTTTATTTGAGTAACACAACTGCTGTGTAGATCTTTCGAGCACTGTCATGGACTTGTATTAATCTCAAACCAAATTACGTCTAATGATTCGTGTGCTGCTTGTACTGTTCTATGAAAATCTTTATGCAGATTTTGAAGCTAAAGTGACTATTGTTGCACTGATGTATGTGATGAATAGGAAGTAAGATGTATTACCGTATTTTCTGGACTATAAGTAGCTTCAGAGTATAAATCGCACAAGCCAAAAAATGCGCAATGAAAAAGAAAAAAAACATGTAAGTTGCACTGGATTATACGTCACACGTTTTGAGGAAATGTATTTTATAAAATCAGAGATCAGGAACCGACATTTCACCTTGAAAGTCAAGTTCTAGTAATAACAACAGAACAGAGAACAACAGACTGAGTAGGTGTTAATATGTTAATGTCACATATGAACAGTTATTCAGATAATTACAGCATAAACAACAGAACATAAATTTACCAAACTCACGATCTCACTCCAAATCACTAAATCCATTCAATTCTTCATCCTCTGTGTCACTTCTGCGCAACCTCCAGAGATAAACCATAGATCCATGATGTAAACAGAGCGCCGCTTTCTCTTCTGTGTATCTGTTGTCAGACTCAGCATCGGTTCCAGTTAGAATTATTCCGGCCTTTCTGAATCCCGACAGGATGGTTTTGGTGTCATTGAAGTTCAGGCTTTGTCGATTTATACAGTGACTTCCAGGAAAGTTACATGAGGCACCCAGTCAGTTGCCGTGAAGCTGTGTTCTCCATCCCCACTTTCCACCAGTCAATCACAAGTTTCTCTCTCACTCCAAACTTTCTCTCTGCTGCTCGATCACTGTTTTCGGCTGAATATTTCACTATTTGCAGTGAGACAGCAGCTATTTCTACAGGAGACATGCTCAGTAGAGTGAAGTGTCAGTGGTACAGGAGTAATAGTAGTACTAGATACTGACACACAAGACTAGAGCACACTGTAGTTGCTGTCAGTCTGAAAATGTTCTTATATAAGCCGCAGGAAACACCCAAACCATGAAAAAAAAGTGTGACTTATAGTCCAAAAAATACGGTACTAGATGTGCTTACAACTGTAGTACTAGTAGACCAATCTCTGGACCGTATAATTAGGCTGCTACTTTACTTTCTAAGCTAAACAATACTACTCCAATGTGCCTACTGAAAAAAATGCTTTATGTGTTGTTATACTTATTTTATTGTGGAGTTATAGCCTTAACCAAATGTGCAACATTTTTACCAAAGGTGCAATAGTCAATGTTTATTTCTTTCTATTGTCCAGTTCTTGCCTACAGCCTTAACCTTCACTTCTCCATCCTCTGCTCTCACTCAGACTAACCTGACGTCTTCTTTCACTTCCTTAAAGGTACATTGCGCAACTTTTCTGATGGTGAAAACGAAAGTGCCAGAGAGCTACGCATTTTAGCAGTCACGGAGAAATGGAGTATATTTAAGTGCCACGGCGAGTCTTAAATGACGTACAGTTAGACGCTTATACGAAGTCAGACATTGAAATGATAAATGTACAACGGTAATAGGCTTTTAATGAATCAAATTTGGCATATTTAGGACAATACGTGTCTAGAATGTTCCACGGTAGAGATTAAATTTATCTATCTCAAGGCAGACAACTATAGACTTCATTACAGGTCAGATCTATGGAGAGTTGCCCCCCAATTCACAGAGAGAATTCTTGTATTTTTGAGCAACGGAAACACCTTTAATGAAGAAATGCTAGATGGATATGTTTAATTAGTGAGGCTGGCTCCACCTAGTGCCTCCTCGCAATTTCATTTCTCTCCAGTGACTAGGTCAGGAATCAGAATACACTAGACGGTTTGCAAGAACCCCGGAAGTTGTAGACAGCGCTCTGGCCAATCAGTGAAGAGCTGTGAAGTCATGACGTCAAACTCGAGCGTCTGTCTGGGTCCTTTTTTGTGGAACAGCACAACAGTAAACAAAGCGGTCGAGATGGATGTAGACGAAGACAGACATTCTGTTTTGGCAACGATTTCCCGAGATCGAGGATTTAAAGCCGGAACAAAGAGAATGTTTGGTGAATTTTATCAAGGGGAAAGACGTTATTGTCCTTCATCCTTAAAATACTACTTAGTCCCGTTAGTGGCGCATTACATACGTCACGACCAAATAGCAGTGATTGGTTAAATAAATTTTTAAAAAACGTTTACCGTCGAGCAAATGAATCCTAATGCTGCAAGGTCACACGGTTTCCATGAAGTGAAACCGGCTGTTGAATCAGGCTAACGTTTAATGTAGGGGTGTGCAAAAATATCGGAATATCGATATATCGTATCGTTTAATGTGATGATACAGTATCGATATCGTGGGCTATTGTATCGATATAGCACGAAGAGTATTTTTAGGTGTGTTTTACTAAATTATTTTGTTACAGCTACAGTTTTGTTGCTTGTGGAGTGAAAGGAAACTCATTTATTCAACACATTTGATATTTTTACTGTTTTGATGATTAAAATGTTTGTGTTTCATATGAATTTTGCACAAGAAGTGGTTTAACAAAGACTTTTAGAGTCACGGCCATGATTTAGACTTTATTTTTTATTGAACCGTATCGATTTGAAATATATCATATCGAATCGAAAGTGCACTGTATCGAGATATGTATCGTATCGGCAACTTCTTAATGATACCCAGCCCTAGTTTAATGCCATACCGTTGACCATTCCAGGCCAAGAGAAAAGTTTTGCAATGCACCTTTTAAATCTTTTCTTTCGTGGCAGCTCAATCTTAATCCATACACTCAATCCTAACCCAAACCCAAACTCACTCACTCTCCCTCCTTTATAGGCGTGTCCAAACTTTTTCATCAAAGGACGTGTATCAAACCACAGGCAAAGTGAATAATGAAAATATATGCATTTATAACAAGTTAGAATGAGCCACCAGACCTTTATTTTTACTTAGATCCTCAAAAGTACACACGAAATATTCAGTATGGGCAGTTAACAAGGTAGGAGTTCAGAAACTTGACGTAAAAGGCGTCGCTTAAGGTACACTACCGGTCAAAAGTTTTAGAACACCATCATTTTTCAAGTTATTTATTGCAGTTTAAGTCCAATAAAAAGCTTGAAATGGTATGAAGGTAAGAACTATACATACAGAGGTTAAAAAAAAGATAAAAAACAACAAAACACAAGTCCAGGCTCTGCCAAAACTACCTCAGGAAAAAAGAACAAGCTTGAAAACATGGAGTGTCCAGACTTAAAGCCCATCGAGTTGGTTTGGGATGAACTGGACAGAAGAGTGAAGCAACCTACATTTATGAGAACTTCTGCAACAGACTTGGGAAGAACTTTCTGAAGAATATTTCTATTGTAAAAAGAACGAGCCACGAGTGTGTTCAGCTGTTAAATCTGCCAAAGGTGGACACTTTCAGGAATCAAAAGTTTAGACTATGTTTTGGTCTATAAATTGATTCCATGATTTATTTTTCAACTCAAATTGCTTATTTCAGAGTGCAATGACACAGTAAACAGTAAAAAAATGGAAAAAGTGTGGTGGTGTTGTAAAACATTTGACCGGTAGTGTAATATGAGCCAAGCTGAACTGTGCTGAGGGCCACACCTTCGTTTGGATTTGCCTTGTCCTTTATTCTCTCCTCTCTATCATACACCTGTCATCTGTACTATATTTTCACTGTCCGTCCTGTATAACCGATATTTACTCTGTACTAGGGTGACCATATTTCCTTTTGTGAAAAACCCGGACACCTTACCGGGGTTGGGGAGGTGGGGCCTCGACATTGAGCTACTCTCACCTCGCGACCTGTGCACATGGTCTCCCACTTGTCTCGACCGGGATGGAAAACCGAGAATTTCTTGTGCACTTGTGCTTCGGCGTGTTGCAGACCGACCGACTGTTTGTGTCTGCTCGCTCCAGTGCACAGAGAGCAATGGCCCCAATGTAAGATCATGAAAACCCGGACATTTCCATCACTTTAAAAAAACAAAACAAAAAACTGACACCCAGGACAGGACGCAAAAAATGGACATGTCCAGGGAAAAACGGATGTTTGGTCACCCTCCTCTGTACCATATATACACTGTCCCTCTTCTGTACCATATCAAATTGTCTGTCTAACCTTGTACCATATTCACAATCTGCTTAAGTTATAGTACCGTATTCTCCGCACTATAGGACGCTCTGGATTATAAGACGCACTGTTATTAAATGGTCTATTTTTTTTTTTTTTTTATCAAAATATTTTTATTGTTTTCAAAACATCAAATATATACATTTATGTATGTTACTGGCAGGTAACAAATTCACAAATGTCAGTTATGCAGAGCTGGAAAAAACAGAAGTCCAAGTTGCAAGTTCCCCACAGAACAGATCCACTTGTCAAATGGAACAAATTATAATAGATGGAAGAGAGAGAGAAGAAAAAGAAAAAAAAAAAAAAAAAAAAAGCAACAAGACAAAAAACAAAACAAAATAATAATAATAATAATTTTTTAAAAATTAAACGAATATCAATACCAGGTGCTGTATTCATTCACATACTACAGCTTGTTATTTTTCTGTTCTTTTTAAAGAGCTGAATACACCTGCAGGAAACGGCCCCATGTTTTCTCAAATGCACCAATATTTTGTTTCAGGGAAAATCTAATTTTTTCTAACTTTAGACAGGACATGACATCTTGCAACCACTGTGAATGTGAGGGAGGGTTAGTGTCCTTCCACTTGAACAAAACGGCTCGACGTGCCATAAGCAAAGTAAAAGCCAAAGAAGAGTTTTTGGTAGCACTAAAATATATCTGATCCTCCAAAACACCAAAAAGCACCAATACAGGGTTTGGTTCTAACCTAATACTGAATACTGGGATAGAGTGTTAAAAATATTCTTCCAGTAGGTTTGGAGACATGAGCAGGACCAGAACAGGCCACAGCGGACGCACAATGGGCTCACTTCAGGATACAGAGAAGGATAGTCTGGCCCTGGAGATATGCTTTCGATGAACAACTTTGAACTGAATTAACCGGTGCCGAGCACAGAAAGAAGATGAGTAAATAAGTTTAAGAGCAGTGGATAAATGGTCTATTTTTGAACTTTTTTCACAACAGTTAGATGGGTCAGTTGGACTTTGTTTGGTGCGTTCACGGTGTCTGTCTGGGACCGCTGGATTGTCGGCGTGTTCGCAGTGACTCAGTTCAGTTGTGTCTAGAAGCGGCACGTCGCGCTCGCTTTTTCTGTTCGTTCCTCCGTTCCTCGTCTGCGGATTCATGTACAGGGCGCTCTGGATTGTGGGGCGCGCCGTCGTTTTTTGACGGGGTTGGAGGCTCTTGAGTGCTCCCTATAGTGCGGAAAATACGGTATATAGCAGATTCCAGTAAATATTAGCCATTTTTTTCTACAGTAAGTTGTAGATTGCAATGTACTTGAACAGTTATATCGAAATACTCACTTGAAACCAAACTTACCTTGTTAAAATTGTCTTCTGTGCGTAATAATGTACAGACTAACGTAGGAAAAAGCCATAGCTGTCTAACTTGCTGATTAAGAAAGAATGTGTAACACTAAATGCTGTAAACAAAGCTACTTTTAAATATATGCTGGTTTCATGATGCCTTTGTGAACACAGACTACTAACTATGCACTGCTGGAAGAAAAAGCCTGTTGTTTTGTTATTGTAATGCTTGGTTATATCCAGCAGGTGGCAGTATTTGCAAAGCTCAAAGCTGTATAACACTTTACATGTCACTGTGTCAAATGCTGTTTCCATGAATGATTATTGTGTCAATCAGTTTTGTATTTGCTCGATTTGAACACATTAAAAGTACTAACCAAATGTTTCTTTTTATTTCAGATATTTTATTTCCACTTAGTCCAGTTTTTTTGATTGAAAGTTTGTGTATTGTTTTTCATTTTCAAGAAGGCAGCCACACTTTCAGTTTTCTTCTCAGGTTTAAAAGCGATCAGGTCCATCATTTGTGCATTTACATTTTGGATATTTCGTGACAAAGCACAATGGAAAGTGCAAAAGTAAAGCTGTCTACTGCCTCCCGTCTGAAATATGACAACACATTTTAGAATCTGAAACTCCCCCGTAGGCAAATATACAATAAACATGTCATTATTTTCCAAAGAGAAAGGCAACAGAGATATACAATATTTGCACTTTTAGAGTCTCGACTATCGGCCTTAAAGGTGTATTGTTTTTGTGTTTGACATTTGACTCACTGTCCACCAGAAAAGTTACACAATAAGTCTCCAGCACAGGCAGATATTTAGTTTTGGCCGACTTGCTGCCTATAAATACCCATAAAGCTTTATTTGCTTGCTTGAGTACAAAGAGATAACGGCACGAAATGTGACCACACAGCTCTGTTTTAGATTTGAGATTAAAAAAAAAAGACCTGTGGGTGAGTTTTTAGTAACCTTAATAAAATAAAATCAATACATATCGGCCCAAAGATTTCGTCATAGCAGAGCATCGGCCATGAACAAAAACCAAACAAAAAACATATTGGTCGATCTCTAGAAGGGAATCAAATGTGCAAATTTGATTTGGTGATAAACATAATCCTAGTATATCTTATGTATTAACTGTCTGAATGTATATGGTATCACGTATATATACTTTTTTTTGTTTTTTCATGTGTATATTTGGTCAGTGTTTAACTCATTACAGTCTACATACATTATATTCAATCTGATGTCATAAAATAAAACATGTTCAGTGTGTAGAACAATCAAATACTAAGTAAGTCACTGACCTGGTGTTTTTTGGGTTTTTTTTGTAACCTGGCTATAACTTTCCTTACTCCAATCTGACAACCTGTAGGCCAAGCAAAGAACTTCTAAAGAAATGAAAACAAGAAAATCAGCAGATTGCAGCAAAAAGAAAACAATGGGATTACAATAGATGAGCCATATACGGTCCTTTGATTGACGCTGACTGGCCCATTTAAGATCATTTGGAATTACAAAATAAATGTATTTTATCATTTTATCTCATATATGAATGAAAGCTGCACTGCATTTATTTTAGAGTTTGTAAATTTGACATGTGAGAGATTATTTAAGATCAGTGCATGCAGTGAACAGGGTATTTCTACATCAAATAATAGAAAGTTCACATGAAACCTGTGTCCAGAAATCCTGCACTGGTGGACAATCCCAAAACATATGTTTAAATGTCCCAATGTAATTTAAAGAACATAATTTACACTAGGGATCCATAATCCTCTTCATAACATATGATTTTTTAGGAGTTAAATATAACCGATAGATAGTGTTTTGAAGGTGACTTTAAAAATGGATTCCCCTACAGATTACAGATTACATACCCCAAAATGTAGTTTGTAACATAATCCATTAAATTACTTAGAGTGAGTAATGTAATCTGAATACTTTGGATTACTTGATTTGCTGTAGAGAAACCAAGACTAGGAAATCTTCACATAAGACGTTTTGTCTGTTAAAAGAAAATAAAAAAGACCAGATTTTACTGAACCAAATTAAAAGTATTATTGATAGAAGAGGAGGAGACACGTCCACGCAGCAGGATTTAGTCCTGTTAAATCCTGTTTTAGACCTGGTTTGAGACCTGGTTTAGACTTGGTTTTTGTCCTTATTTAATCCTGGTTTAGACCTGGTTTAGACCTGGTTTAGACCTGGTTTAGATCTAGTTTAGACCTGGTTTTAGTCCTGGTTCAATCCTGGTTTAGACTTGATTACGGAGAAAAAAAAAAAAAAGGGATATAGCCCAAAATGTGAAAACAGGAAAATACCACAGTGTAATCCATTTATTTCAACAAAGTAACTGTAATCTAATTACCACTCATTCAAACAGTAATAATTTGTACTCTGATTACGTAACTCTGGTACATGTAATCTGTTACTCCCCAACACTACCGATAGAGGTGTTTTATTATTTTTTTCTTTCACTTTTTCACTGCTTAGTCATAACATAACTCTTACCAGTCTCACCAGCTCGTCTAAACAATGTTATTTACTGCTTTTTATAAATAAGAACTATTAATATTATGCAGAACTGAGCATTTTATGCATAAAAATTTTTGCCCACCACGGCAATAGAGGCAAAATCTTTATACGTATAGTTTTTCTTTGCTTTGATAACTTTAAAATATATATATTCATTTAGAAATATTGTCAGTAAGCAGTGTTGTGAAGTAACAGATTACATGTACCGGCATTACGTAATTAGAGTACAAATTATGAGTAACTGTATTCAGGTACAGTTACTGTTTCAGTGAGTGGTAATTGGATTACAGTTACTTTGTTGAAATAAATGGATTACACTGCGATATTTTCCTGTTTTCACATTTTGGGCTAAACCAGGACTAAACCAGGTCTAAACCAGGACTAAACCAGGACTAAACCAGGACTAAACCAGGACTAAACCAGGTCTAAACCAGGACTAAACCAGGACTAAACCAGGACTAAACCAGGTCTAAACCAGGACTAAACCAGGACTAAACCAGGTCTAAACCAGGTCTAAACCAGGACTAAACAGGACTAAACCAGACTAAACCAGGACTAAACCAGGTCTAAACCAGGTCTAAACCAGGACTAAATCAGGACTAAACCAGGTCTAAACCAGGTCTAAACCAGGACTAAATCAGGACTAAACCAGGTCTAAACCAGGACTAAACCAGGTCTAAACCAGGACTAAATCAGGACTAAACCAGGTCTAAACCAGGTCTAAACAGGACTAAACCAGGTCTAAACCAGGACTAAACCAGGTCTAAACCAGGACTAAACCAGGACTAAACCAGGTCTAAACAGTATGAGACCTCACAGTAGGTGGACATACTCATATAAATTTCTCATTTCTCATATAAAAATCATTTCTCTCTCAGTAATATTTTTAATCTGGTTAAGTAAAGACTGGACTTTTTATTTTCTTTTAACAGACAAAACATCTTATGTTAAGATTCTGGTCTTTGCTTCTCTACATTAAACAAAAGCCTTTTCATGGAGACTTGGGCTCAACAGTCAGTTTGAAGAGAACAAACATGAATTTTCAGGATGTGGTCGCTCCATTCATGTAGTTTTAAAAAGCCTGACAATATCAAGTAATCCAAAGTATTCAGATTACGTTACTCACTTTAAGTAATTTAATGGATTACGTTACAAACTACATTTTGGAGTATGTAATCTGTAATCTGTAGGGGAACACATTTTAAAAGTAACCTTCACCAACACTGCCAGTACGTCCTGCAAATTGCTGCACTATTACGAGACCCTGCACCTCTGGTTGGAAAACACTTGACTCTTTTTACGCACGGCACTTGTCGGTCCTCGTGGGCGGAGTCACGCTCACAGCTCCGGTCCCCAAGACAACGCGGCGTACACTGGTTTTGCACGAGCTCCAGTCGTGTCATACCGAGCCGAGACGCATCCTCCTCCTGTGCATGAAAGCTCCGAGACACGTTCTTACGCCGCCAGATCAGGAAACCAAAAGACTTTTTTACCAACTGGATGTAACGCGTGAAGAAGACATGACGCTTTTTACCGCACGGGGAATTTAAACGCGGACCTGTTTTGTTTCTTTTACGCGCGACGCAGGAGTCTATGTAAGTAGTTTGAGCCATGATTTGTGATGTTCATTAACTGTGCACGATTTTGGAAAGGTCTAATTTCGACAAAATAAATTGCAATTGCGATGAAAATTGCGAAAACACGATTAAAAAGTGGGGTTCTGATCAAAGTAAACATTGTAAACAACTCTCCAGAAAACTGAAATATGACCTGAGAAAGTAAGAACATGTTTGGAGATCTATAAAAGAAGACAGGATATTCTATTCATCAACAACATCTAAATAACTGCAGCATTTGCGATTTTGATATTTCGCGTCAACTCAAGTTTTTTTTGATTCCATTGCGACCGACTTACATTGCGCGCTACGATCTACTTTCCTTTTGCATTGCGTTCACTACAAACTTGCATTACATTGTGCATTTTCTTAGCCTATTCATTTGAAGTTATACGCAAAAACACAATAAGCTGATTTGAAAATACAACTTTTTTTTAGTCTGCTGTACTTAATGAAGTTTCAGGCATGTTTCCAAGTTGAATTGTTCACTTGTTGCTGTACAGTACTAAGGATGTACAATATCCAAATCTCACGATACGATATTTTCACGATATGCATCTCATGGTACGATATTTATTGCGATATTTGTAGACGCTAACAAAACAAAACTGTGAATATGCTACTTCTTTAAAAAGACATTGATACTGTTAATTCTGGTACTGTTTTAATATGATGAATTAAGATTTTAAAATGTTATTAGTGTTAAGTCTCCACTGACAACACCAGAGGATCATGGTCTATGTAGTTTCCTTTGTTTTGTTTTTTAGCTACTGCTGCACCGTAACAATGAATTAAGTAAAGAGACTTGTAGTTCGATATATCGTGACGGTCCGCGATATTATTCTGAGGTTTTTGATGATACTGTATCGTGACATTTTGGTGATTGTTACATCCCTATACAGTACTGCATATTTGCATGTTCTAAGCATCACATGCACCCCCACTTTCATTACAGATTATGCACAATGCCCATAAAACAATGATGCAACTTTTCTGGTGGAGGTCCACTACCTGCTTTTCTCCATGGAGATCTTATTGCTTTGTATGGAATGTTTCACAGTATGGCATTGAACCTTTCTATCTTCATGGAGACCAAACCAGACCAAGTTACAGGTCAGATCTGTGGAAAGGGAGGGGGGTCCTCTCACAGTGAGAACTTCTGTTTTTCTAGGTATTTTTGAGCTATAAAACCACCTCTAATTGAATAAATGTAAGGTAGAGCTGTTTAATGTCATACTGTGGAACATTTTGAGGCAAAGCAATGGCATCTCCATAGAAACAAGCAGGTGACAGACCCCGAACCCAAAAAGTTACACAGTGCACTTTTACATGTGAATGTTTGGTGAATTGTTTAATATAGTAACATACCGTGTTTTCCGGACTATAAGTCGCACCAGCCAAAAAAACATATATAAGTCACACTTTTTGGGGAAATGTATTTTATAAAATCAGAGACCAGGAACCAACATTTTATCTTGAAAGGCAAATTCTAGTAATAATAATAAAACAGAGAACAACAGACTGAAAAGGTGTTAATATGTTAATGTAACATATGAACAGTTATTCAGATAATTATTGCATAAACAACATAACATAAGTTTACCAAACTCATGATCTCACTCCAAGTCACTAAATCCACTGAATTCTTCATTCTCGGTGTCACCTCTGCGTGACCTCCGGAGATAAACCATAGATCCATGACGTAAGCAGAGCGCCGCTTCCTCTTCTGTGTAGCTGTCGTCAGACTCTGCTTCAGTTCCATTTAGAATTATCCCGACTGGATGCTTTCGATTGTCATTGAAGTTCAGGCTTTGTCGATTTATACAGTGACTTCCAGGAAAGTTACATGGTGCACTTTCCTGGTTGCCGTGAAGCCTGCTTTCCTCCAGTCCCTCACAAGTTTCTCGCTCACTCCAAACTTTCTATCTGCTGCTCGATTACCATTTTCGACTGAATATTTCACTACTTGCAGCAGGACAGCGGCTTTTTCTGTGGGAGACATGCACAATAGAGTGAAGTGACAGTGGTACTGGAGTAATAGTCGTACTAGATACAGGCCACAAGCCTAGAACGCACTCTTGCGACTGTCAGTCTGAAAATTTTAATATATAAGTCGCAGGAAACACCCAAACCATGAAAAAAGTGTGACTTATAGTCCAAAAAATACAGTAATAATCAGAGGTGATCTTTTTTATTATTAGCCTATAATTTGATTCCTGTGAGCACCGACACTTTATGCACGCAGTATAATTTTCTGTACTGTACACTGTCTAGAATTGACATAAATAATGTAACTGTGTGTCAAACTGTCAGCCATATTGTCTTGTCCCCACCGTCAGCTTCATGTGGCAGTGTGTTCTGTTGTGTTCTTTTGTGTTCTGTTGTGTTTTGGTGCTTTGCTCATGTTTTGTCCCCCTGTCTTTGTCCTTCATTCCCAGTGTCCATAGAGTCATCCAGTCTCGTCCACTGTCCACCACTGTCCTCAAGATGCACATGAATAGTTTAGTAAACCAATGGAGTAAGTACCAGCTGTCTTTACTTATATTTAACTTAAACGGGCTGTGCTAGGCTTTTTGTTTTGTTTTTTACTGCAAATTAATCTTTAGTTAAAGCCTTGTTAAAAGATTTATATTACACAAAAGTGACTTTTGTGAGCATTTCATATTATTGTCTCCTCAACAACATACCCAGAGCCGTATTAAGCCAATGTGGTGCAACAAGGGCATTTTTCCTTTGTAATTTATTAACTACATCAGCCCAGCAAATAAGGCAAAAATAAATTACAGCATCCATCTATATACAGTACATGTTGGCATATTTAAATGTCTCAATTCAAAATGTGCACATTACACGTCATGTAATCTTGATTTGTTCAGTATTTTCATTATTGTTGTTATTATGAAATTAGTGTTAATGACGAGTTATGTATGGCCATTTTACATTTTGAAGTGAATAACATACAAATTTACGAAAAATATTTTTAAAGTTAGTGTCATGTGGTGCACTAGCCTGATTCATGAGCCGGTTTCACTTCCTGGAAACCGTCTGACCTAGCAGCATTTGGTTTCGTTTTTTTTTTTTTTTTTTTTTTATTTAACCAGTCACTACTATTTATGTGTTGCTAACAGGGCTAACTGGTATATTAAGCTTTTCCCAATTCCCATAGGAAGAAGGGCAATAACGTCTTTCCCCTTGATAAAATTCACCAAACATTCTCTTTGTTCCGGCTTTAAATCCTCGATCTGTGGAATCGTTGCCAACACAAGAACATATGGCTCTTTGCTGATTGGCTGGTGCCTGGACTCACAATTCCAGGGTTCTTGCAAACCGTCTAGTGTATTCCGATTCCTGACCTAGTCGCTGGAGAGAAATGAAATTGAGTGGAGGCACTAGGTGGCGCCAGCCTGGCTAATTAAACATATCCTTCTAGCATTTCTTCATTATGGGTGTTTCCATTGCTCAAAAATACAACAATTCTCTCTGTTAATTGGGGAGACTCTCCATAGATCTGACCTGTAATGAAGCCTATAGTTGTCTGCTTTGAGATAGATAGGTTTAATCTCTACCTTGGAACATTCTAGACACGTATTGTCCTAAATAAGTCAAATTTGATTCATTAAAAGCCTCCACCGGTTGTGAATGGTTGGTGTCCCTGGGCACCGTGCCACTGAACCATATGGATAATCCAGCCTTGAACAGACCTGCAGTTGTGTTTTGTTTCATTCATACATTATTCATCTGTCTACATCTCCAAAGGTCAAAATGCTCTGTTCCACCTTGTGATGTCATGAAGTGATAGTGACGTTAATAGCTACGATTTACTTTTAGTTCAGTAGAGTTTGGCAATTCTAGAGCTGAAATGATCCAAATGATTCTAGTGAAGATCTAAGGAGCTTAAAAGTATTATAATGTTCCTACAGGTGTGAACAAGCAGAAAGAAATCAGACGACTCACGTCAGCTTTATCTGTTTACATGACATTTCCATTATCTGATAACTCCACAATGAGATCTGATGATTGGTGAGCGTGTGAACTGACTTTTTTTTGTACTGTTAAAGGTTCTATATTACCGTAAAATCTAGACTATTGAGCGAACCTGAATATAAGCTGCATCAACTAAATTTGAACAAAATTTAAAGACTGTACATACATAGGCAGGTGTCCACATCTTCAAGAACGTTATTCAGTTTGAGCCGTCTGCTTTTGTCGCCTCTGAAAGTTTTTGTCGTCTTTTTGCATTGTCAGTTTGTCACGCTGCCGTCGCCAAAACCTCACCATCGACTCACTGATGTGGAGCTCATGTGCAGCAGCTGTTTCTTCCACAGCCACATCAAGCGCCGTTAACTTAAAAGCTGCATCAGCTGCATTTCTTCGTGTGTTTTTCATGAGGAGGGTGTGTGCATGAAGTGCAAAATAACTGTTCAAAACACAATCAAATGAGCATCTTCCTCAGCGCGTCAGCCACATCTCTCCCCGCACTCTACTGCACATGTCTCCTACAGAAAGAGCCGCTGTCCTGTCTGTATCATGTCAGTGTCTTGGAGGATTTCAGCAGGTTTCAGACTCTCTCGGGGGCGGGGCTAGTCCTATCAATCAGGTATGAGTGGATGCGTGGCCACTGAAGTTTGAGATGTTTCTTCTCGTCATTTACCGTATTTTCCGGGCTATTAGGTGCTCTGGATTATAAGATGCACTGTCATTAAATGGTCTATTTTCAAACTTTTTTCACAAATAAACAAATAGGGAGGGTGCTGTCTGGGACCGCTGGATTGTCGGCGTGTTCGTAGTGACTCAGTTGTTCAGTTGTGTCTAGAAGTGGCACATTGCACTCGCTTTATCGGTTCGTTCCTCCGTTCCGTTCCTCGTCTGCGTGGAGTGATGAGTGTGGCTGTGGGTGTTTTTCGCTGTGTGGTCGCTGTCTGCTCTGTGTGTGTTTGCGTGCGCTGCGGGTGGTGCGGATTTGTAGTTTACTGAAGTCGTGCTGGGACACCCGAGTGGATTCGTGTATAGGGCGCTCTGGATTGCGGGGTGCGTCCGCTTTGTTGCCAAACCATAGACCGTATAAATGAATGGACAATGTGCCAAACAAAGAATCTGTCCATATATTCGTTCCATATCCGCATCGTTTTATTAGCCGCAGGGTTCAAAACGTGAGAAAAAAGTAGCGGCTTATAGTCCGGAATTTACGATACACAACATTCACTCTTGTGAGCTTTACGCCATGTTAGAATGTTGTTTCCTCCTCAAAAACAGACCTGGAGTTGTGTTTTATTTCATTCTCTCGTTTAACACAAACATCCTGCACATTTAGGCTGAGTTCTTCTCTCAAACAGAAAACACTCTGTTCCACCTTGCGATGCCATATGTCATACAGGAGGTGCTCCACTGTGATTTTAAACTCCATACACCTTCTTTAGAGTCATTTGGATCATCTGGAATTGCCGATGTCTACTAAACTAAAGGTAAAACATAGCTGTTAACATGAAAATTACTGCTTTGTGACATCCCAAGGTGGAACAGATGTACACAGACTAATAATAAAGGATTAACCCACATGTAAGAGTGAAACAAAACACACCTCCAGGTCTGTTTTTGAAGAGGAAACCACATTCTAACACGGCGTAAAGCTCAAAAGTGTCAGTGTTGTGCAATATAAAACCTTTAACAGTACAAAAAAATCAGTTCACACGCTCACCAATCATCAGATCTCATTGTGGAGTTATCAGAAAATGGAAATGTCATGTAAACAGATAAAGCTGATGTAAGTCGTCTGATTTGTTTCTGCTTGTTCACACCTGTGCAATATTATGTAACAAAAAGGCAAACCAACGTGACAAAGAGAAACTGAGATTGCGTGAGTTATTAATAATCCATTATATGTCACTGTAACGATTACGTGACCAGGTGTTTATCACTATCAGATTTCTTTTGTGCTGTTGAGTAAATAAAAGGGCCCATATTACGCTATTTTCTCATCTATGTTATAATCTTGTTTCCTTATCGCAAACATACCTGCACTTAACACATAAACCTGCATATTTCACTTCACTCTAATCATTTGGATGACGTCAACCCAGAAATTTCCAAACTTGACTAAAGAAAAGGTAAAAGGTAACTGTGCTTCATGACATCATAAGGTGGAACAGAGTATTTTGTGCTTTGGAAATGTGCACAGACTAATAATAATGTGTTACTCAAACATGTGTGAATGAAACAAAACACAACTCCAGGTCATGTTTTTGAGGAGGTAACAACATTCTAACATGACTTAAAGCTCACAAGAGTAAATTTTGCGTAATATAGAATCTTTAATCTGTTGATAGTGTTTCAATTGACCAGAATTTGTTTTAGTTATTATCATTTTTTTATTCGATTTTAAGGATTTGTATGAGACAACAAAAAAGGAGAAGTTAGTGAGTGAGTTAGCTGAAGGTTTGGTATTTTTTTGGGTATATAAAAGTAGATAGAATTTGTGATTCAGAAGTAGTGTTGAACGATTTTAAGAAAAAATGTAATTGAGATTTTTCTGGCAGATATTGCGATTTTGATTTCACAATTTTTTTCAAATCAAGTTTCAGTGCACATGAACATTTGCAAACATCACAGAACTTTACATCATACCAAATTCTGCATCAACAATTTGACACTGGACTGTAAAGCCCAGTTTATGCAGACAGTAAGAGCTGTGATTGGTCGTCTCTACCACCGCTCTACATACATTTCCTGTACTCCGCTTTCCTTTCTTTCAATATACATTGAGTAATAATGTGTTTAATGCAGCTTTGCGCACATTTGTTTACGTTTTACAGAAACAAAACTTAAAACCACATGACTAATTTGCATAAACTGTAAGCCTGAAAAAACAGCCCTGATGCGGTCAGCTTCTGTTGCACTGAAGGACACAAATGAGTGTTCTTTCTGTAACAGAGGATGTGCTGCTGATGGTGAGTCTGATCTGTGCTTCTGTCGTGTTGGAGATGGTTCATGGGAAACTTTACACAAACCCCAGGTTTAAATCCTAGCCTCCTATCATAGTGGTGGTGAATTACTTTGCGGCGCATAGACCTCGATGCAGGTCCATAATCAAAAACAACGGTGACAAGGCGAAGGCGGCAGTGTGCGTTGAGTTGATGCAGAATTAAACTTCGTCCTTAAATTGGGCTTTAGGAGGACTGCAAAAAACCATGACTTTGACGCTCCCAAAATAGTGTTGTCTGAGATCACGATTTTCGATCCAAAGTGATAGATCATTTAGCCCTATTTAAAAAATGTAATTGTCTCTATTTAAATACACTGTTTCCTAGTACTTTTTTTTTACTGCATAAATAGTTGTTTTGCATGAACTCCCCCTGCAGGTGTCGTGTTGTGAGTGCAGTTTGGGTCAGATACATAAAGATACGTAACAGTTTTGAGAGCTTTTGCCACGCCTCATTTTATAGATGCTCTATGTAACTTTTCTGGTGTAACTGTTCTGCTTGGAATGTTTCACAGTATGGTGTTAAACTTAACTATCTCCAT